TTCTAGGAAGGAGTACACGTGGTGTCTCCACGAAGGCCTAAAGGTTAAAAGCCGATACAATTTTCAATCTCGTTCCAATCTGTGATTACTGTGCTTTTCCAGTGTCAAGTGACCCAGGAAATGCAGAGGTGTCCACATTCATGGCTTGCCACGCTCAGCAAATGGTTTTCACAAACACTTTTGAGCTTTACATCGCTCCGTAAGAAAACATAAGGCAGGCACCACCGGTTCTTTGACTTGTCAAGTGTACAACTAAAAGCATGATTGCCTGCACTGTTGAAAATCTCAAACGCTGTAAAGCTCAAAAGTGTTTGTGAAAACCTTTTGCTGAGTGTGGAAAGGGATGAATGAGGATACATCTGCCTTTCCTGGGTCACTAGACACTAGACAAGCCCACCAATCTCAGATTGGAAGGTTTAATAAAAGTGAAAGTGGAGTGTATCAAAAGATAACTGTGGCTGAACAGGTGGACAAAGGGTTTAACCCAGTTTTATAAGGGTCTAAAAGGTTGATTTGAGAGTGAGAGAGTGAGTCTAGCTGATATTTCAATGGTAAGGGGATGGTATGTAATGGTATGTAAGGGTTTGTAAGAGTAGGGGGTATGAAATAGGTGGATACTAAACTGAGGGGAAAACAACTGAGAGGAGAGCCTCTTAAGTACACAAAGGTGAGAGATTTTAGCTTCAGGGGAACAAGAGAATGAGAAATTTTAGCTGGCCAGAGCTTTACAATGAGGGGATTTAGCTAGTCAGAACATGTAAATCTGTATTTCAATGTATATAATTCTGAAATTGCAATGTGGCTATGACTTGTAGTTCTGAAATAATATATAAGATGGATTTATTTATAAGGGTGGTTGAGATGATCTGGTCCACTGGTGGGATGATGGACACCTGGTGGGATGATGGAGGGAACAACTGGAAGGCAGAGGCCTCCTTATATAGACAAATGTGAGGGATTTTGGCCCCAGGGTACAGGCTGTGAGATACTACTACAAAGGGATGCATATGAATGAACAAAGGGACGCATATGTATGATCAAAGGGATGCATACATGCAATATCACTAATACAAAGGGATTAAAAACAACGTAAAGGTATTCAATTTACTACAATGGTATTCAGTATGCAATATGCATCCTGTATTCATAATGACTATGGCTAGAGTGAAGAATCCAAGAAATACCCCGTGACAGTTTGAAATCTGTGTAACTTCTAAACTATAAGAGATAAGGGTATGGTTGTAGTGGGTGACTAGGGGTTATTTTACCTGAGGATACCATTTTTGATGTCATTTTTACCATATCTTGAATGAATAAAGAGATAATGATAAATTTTTATATTTTCTGCGTAGAAACACAGTATTATTTACCACACCAAGGACTGCATGACCGCTGTCTGAAAGATGAAACCGAAAACGACATTGGAGCACAATTGCCCATTGAGAGCCTTCAGTTCAGAGTAAAGGTCTCAGATTTGCGACACTACCCCGGTCGACGGCTCGGAGTGCTTGATCGTTATTCCACTCAAACGGCGCCATAAGTTCATCTGTGCCGCCCTGGAGTTTGCCAAAAATTTCTTCTTCAAGAGATTGAATATGTTGGAAGTCTTCTTTAGAGGTTGGATGTCTGGGACCAGATCTTGATGAACTCCTGCAAAAATTACGAGCCGTCCAATCTTCTCGAAAGTGGAGTTGTCACAGTCGGCGAAAAAGAACTCGGGATCGGACAGGTGAGAAGTGCCGATCTCCCGCAGTTCCCTGGTCCACTGGAAAAAATACGTCCCATCGGCACGCAGAGTTTTTTTGGTCTTCCAACGATTGTTGATGTGGGAAAAGGTCTGGCTGATCAACTTGGCCTGTTCGAGTCTCAACTTTGCGGCCTGAAATTCTTGCATTTCCTTCTCCGCTGCTGATGGAGCTTGATGCGGGGCTGGGTGCCAATCGTACTGCGGTCGAGAAAACACATTCACATTTGACCTGTGATGGTTGGACGGAAGATGATGGGAGTGATGCGAGGTCGAGGGGACGGGATGGTACTGCTCGCTCTTTTGAGGTTGTTTTCCTTTGTTTGGTTGTTTAATGGTTGTCTCTGCTTGCTGAGTGTCATTGCTGCCGTTGAGCGCTGCGTTGAACAGCGCGCCCATTTTTCTTGCACCGTCATTGATGTTGTATTCAGATTCGGAACCATTTGTTGAGGCGATACTTGCGGACGACAAGTGTGACCAGACGTTCCGTTCTTTTTTTTCGGTCGAGACATGGTTTGATGGCCGGGTGGATAGATGGTCTAGCGAGTCGGTCAGAAAGTGGTTTAAGTGGAAAAAAAAGTATTGGGGTGTGAAGAGGTGATATGTGAAAAGTGAAGAAAAAAAAACTGGGGAAAACAAGGAAAATTGAGGACGGAGTTCGGAAACAAAAGGAAAAGGAAAGGAAGGGGGTGGTATTGAAAGATTTGGAGGTAGGGAAAGAGAGAGGGGATAGGTAGAGATAGAGAGAGAGAGATAACGGGAAGAAAGAAATAAAAACTTCGTGCGGGTGTTATTCACCGGTCCGCTGCAATGAGATCGAGATCGAGGAGGAGGAAAAAGTCCGAGAGGTCGGCCAGATGGAGTTCGTAACCGTTCTGCACCGGTTCAGGGCCACTGAACCGTAATAGGTAGGTGGCTAGCCTACTTAGCTTAATTGGTATACTTATCCAAACAAATTTCCAGTCGATTGATAGGTTTTGAAGAAAAACACAACCTAGCAACAAAGCTAAGGTTTTTGATGTTGACGAAAGGAAGAACTGAATTGAAATCCACGGGTTGAATCGAGGATTTGCGGGTAAAAAAAATATGAAAACTATATGCGAGAGTCCTTAAGGGCTCATAACCTCATGGAACTCAACATGTAATAATGTGTTATTTCGTTAGGGAGAGAGAGGGAGAATGACTCGGAGGGGACTTCCGAGTCATCTCCAGGTGCCATGCTGCGGCGAGTCAGAGCGTGTAACCCCCAGGTTA